CATGCTGAATTCTGAGGACTGAATCTGACATGGTTTCGGACCAGCCACAAAGCACATCACATCACTGGACTCTTTTCTACTATGTGGGAGTATCATAGACAATGTTGATCAAGGTCGGCAACTCCATTTTGAACTAGTGACGGTTTTTCTGTCACTGATTTAAGTGACACAGCTGAACTAATTACAGGAACTGAACTAATCCAAACCCAAGCTGAGAATATTTAGAGTGGACAGAGCTATACGCACACTTGGCAACATACCTATATACAAAGTACACTACCAAAAAAGAAAACCAAATCAAAACGCCAAACTCCTAACAGATTACAGCCTGCTGAGATCATTTGAAAGCATGGGCTGGTGGCCCCCGGCCCCAAGGATATCCGTTTAGCCTCGGCCACTCCAGCCTGGTGGAATACTCTCCCGAGTGAGATCAAGGCCCTGTGGGATATGCTTCAGTTCCGCAGGGCCTGTAAAACGGAAATGTTCCACCGGGCCTTCGGGTGAGGTGATGGGTGTCTCGTCATTCTGGCCTCCCTGCTCCACCCCCTCCCCGACTTCCCTGTTCAGAAAGGGGGGGTCATCCACTGCCCTTTCTAATCTTGGGCATTTTATAGACCTTTGAGCTGTCTTGGTATGTTAATTTTTTTTAAAAAAATTATTGAACTGCAGAATGTTTTTATGGTTTTATTTGTGAACCACCCTGAGACCAGAGTGCAGGGGAAGGCGGGATAAAAATCCAAACAATAAATAAATAAAGAAATACACAGTGTGGATCAAAAAGCATGGGCTTTAAAGATCTGCTGCTCGGGTTTGTTTTCGTGTATAGAAAATGTCCAATAAATCCATGTGGTCTACTTTTATACAGCCATGTTTCATTGACTATTCATAGTGTATTGCAATTATACACCTCCAATACCACGGCTGTACTCCAGTATGGAATTTACACACTTACACAGTGTATGGTAGCTATACTGTTCCAATTCCATGGCTATCATCCAGTATGGAATATATCCTTGTGCCCTGTATGCTTTATTGCAGAGATGCATGCATGCATTCTAACTATTCCCTCCTCCATTCTAAGGCAACTTCTGCTCCTCCTGAAACTCACCAACATGTTTGCAGGAACTCCATTTAAGTTTGCAGGAATTCCACGAAGCCTGCTAAAATTCCATTAAACCTGCTAAAAAGTACCAAAATAATTCATGAGGGTTTTTTAGAACAGTTATCTGCAAGTGCTGTATTATTATACAGCTTCATTTTCTTCATCCCCTTTTAATATCAAAAACAGGAGACTACCAAAGAGTACAGAACTGAGAAAATAGTAATTTAGCTCCTGTTATACAATCATCAAATAAAATTCACAGATCATCCTAAATGTGATTTTGTTAACTCTGTGCTAGAATGCTGGCCTACATTATGAGGTGAACTTTGTGACTGTTGGATATAAAAATGTTCCATATTCATGCCTTACAAAACATTAGTTGAGAAGGTTTGGGGTCAAATTTTAGCTATCTGGAGAGTGTGGAAACAACTTAACATTTATGATATACATTTTGAGTCTGCCCTTTGAGGAAAAGATTTACAAAGGCCACATTTTTCTATTTATCAGGTACACACGCAGTTTCAAGACACCCAGTTTCAGGGATCTACTCTAGGTAGACGTACCCTAATAATTTCAGTAACAGCTGTTAGTGAAGCTAAAAAATCTTTATATAAGGGCAGAAATCGAAAGAGACTGTTCCAAGCCCAGCAGAACTATGGATGGACATTCAAAATATAAATTTTACAGAACAGACATTTAGAACAAAAAGCAGAAAGAACACCACTTGAGTTTTCAAAATATGTATTAAAAAGCACACACGGTATAACATTTCAAAAATACAAAAGTCAACAAGTATTACAGAATACAATCCTTGGAAGCTAAATGATTCTCCCCGCCCCACCCTTTTTATTGGCAACAGCAGCAGCATTGTGACATATAGGCAAACGGAGAGAGTGCTTGACACAAAATCCCCAGAAGACAATACAGGGAAAGGCTTAATAACAGAGTCTTCCACAAGCATGCCCAAGTTCAGCACAGAGAAAGCAGGCAGAGCATGTGGTCGACCTGACACCAGCGGAAAGGGAGGCACCTTTTACAGACAGTGTGCAAGAAGTTCGTCTGGATAGCAGCAATATTTAAAACTATGCACAATGCACCCTTGCGTGCCACACACAGACACGCCACACACACACTCTCCTTGGAAACTAGACACGGCCTTAGAGAAAGTGGGGGCCTACTCCCCCAATGCATAAACACTGAGCAAAGCTCCGATTGTCCCTACAGCTACATAGGCTATCACAAACTAAAACTCACCGAACACCTATTATGTACAAGTTGCACATGCCAAACAGTTTAGTAAATACTATCACATCAAAAAAAGTGCTTATTGTGCCCTCACTGAGAATACGTGGCGTATATTACAAGAGCTTTCTCCACTGCTCTGCAAGATGGCTAACAAGCAGGGAAGGCAGGCAACGCACAATTCCCTGGTAACCAGGAAAACACTAGCTGAAAATTTGCCCAAATCATGCAAATGGAGTAGGAACTGCCCCCCACTGACATGCGTTTACCCATTCCATGAGCATGGAGCTTGGAACAGGGAGCTGACTGCAAACATAGAACAGTGGGAAGTTGGAGTTTTCTATTTACTCCCAGGCAGCATTTCTGTGCTTCCAGAGAAATGCTTCTTCATTCTGGCACATGTATGAAATTGCCAGTCTCTTACATGAATATCAGTCTCTTTCACATGGCAGTTTACAGGATCTTACTTCTGATGCAGAGTTTGCATGGCAAATTAAAATTCTTTGCAAAGCCGAACTTAGTTTGAGATTATTTAAACAGGGCTAGACAGACTCCAGATTCCTGATTGCTTGGGATCCTCAACACTTTAAACAGGAATTTAAACATCTTCTCAACTCTGAACAGAACCATTTGCTTAAAAAAAAAAGCCACCCGCAAAAACCCTTTCCCTGATGCTTAGCTCCTGGTTGTTCAAAATATTTTTTCCAGCCCTGGTTTTATTGTCTTCTGAAGTTTCTATATTACAAAGGGCAAGATTAATTCAGAACTGAATTATTGCTATAATATACCTTGCAGCAAGCTGCTACAGTCGTCTATATGAACACACGGACACACAAAAATACTGGTAAAATTCACACACATACACACATGACCAAAAGGAATATCTGAGTCTTAACCTACCTCTATAAATATATAAAGACGTATCCAGCAGTCTCCTCACTGAATATCACAAATTTCCCATAACCTTTTCACTCGTACATTCAAGTTATCTTTGTACTTAGCAAAGAGCCCCAAAGTAGGAGATGTCTTATTTCCTGTCCTGACCAGCAAGGAACAGGAACAAAAACAAGAGATGGCTCACAGGGATTATAGGCCACGTTCTAGTGTTAATGCTAGTAAGACCACACTACCCTGTACATAGCAAGGTAAAGCAGTAACAATCAACTGAAAAATACCACATCAGATGCTAACTTTTCTATTAAAAATAGAATGTGCCACTTGCTGGCTACTCCTCACACCTCCGTGGACTCGTAACAACGGATGTGAAGGCTTAGCTCAACAAGCGTTCTGTAGCCTGCCTTTTTAGAGTCACCTAAGCAACCACTTTTGACTAAATGTTCCATCTCAGTTGAAGTGATTCAAGGCAGTGCCAAATGTCACAGCAACTGATAGCAACTAATAAGCTAAATGAGGGTGACCGTCTTGTCAGGGCGCACCAGCTTCTGTCCTTTACTTGCATGGCTGAAGGTCATAAAAAGCCATGACGCCAAGTTAGAAAGGCTTGCTCTATAGAAAACAATTCTCAGAACGAGACCCCGCTTAAATCAATTTCATTTTGTGGGTGGAAGGCACCATTCACATGAATGCAGGAACGGTTCGACACCACTGCATGCGCTTAGTTTAAAAAAAAAGCTGAGGGGAGCCTCTCTTCAGTTATAACTTCCCACAACATTTAGAATGGTTTATAAAAAATCCAAAAGCAGAATTTAGTTTCCACCCACAAGTACCTGACTACCTGTCAGGTTAAAAAAAAAAATCTGAACAAATGTGACTTAGAATATTCCAGAACTAGAGCTACCTTCTATTAAGTTCCACTCACTTTTAGTTGCCAGTAGGTCAAGAAAAGCTGGGTCAACCAAGAGTTTGTTGACCCAATTCCCTCACACACAAAAAAAGAAAGAAGAAGAATCAAGTTTAAGGATAATGCCCTCAACATGATGCAGCTTGATGCAAAGGTCCCAGTTCCCAAAATTACTGACAGGAAAAGCACATATTTTGGCTGAAAGAATACCACAACTTGCCAACACCAAGCTACCATAGCATTAAAGGCAATGGCTCCCCTTAGCTATGGAAGACCCCAAAGAATCCATAGCACCACAGTTGCCAATGAGATTTTGATGTTTTGCTATTCAGGTATTGAGTTAGTAAGAACCGGAGAACATACAAAGTTCGAGTGAACACAGAAATATAGGTAACGGATTCTTCAAAACTCCACAATGTAGACTTTACAGATATTTTAAATTATTTGGACCTAGCCCAAGAAAATCCTGGATGCCTGGGTTAAAACACCACCTGTGTCAACGCCAGGGTCACATCCCTAAAACTACAGCACGGGTTATATACATTTTTTTAACCCACCCTCACACAAAGCTCCCACACATTACAAAATATTAACAACATTGTTAACTGCTTTGTCAATATCCTAATGCCGATAAAAATTCCCCCAATATCTGCGCAAGGACCTCCGACTGGACATAGAGAAAAGGGACCCCAAAAGCCATCAACTGGCACATGAAAAAGGAGTCCAAAGGGTTTTGGGCTACCAGATGCCCCAGTGAGGAAGCTGTGCCTTGAAGGAGTTGGCTCGCCACCCTCACTTTGTCAAAGAGCCGGACAGAGTACTGCACCACCCTGCCAAACAAGGAAGCAGAGCTACCTGGTGTCCTCTCTGATGATGCTGAGATGGAGCTTGCGCGCCCTGCACCATCAGCGGCCATGGTGTCCTGCTGGGTCCCTTTGTTATCCTGGAGGGGAAAGAACACAGGTGATGAATCGCATAACTTTCAATGTACATGACATAGGTGAGCATATATTTATTTTTTTTAAATCAAGGAAATACACTTTTTCTAATATATCCAGGGGAAAGACCTTGGCGGAAGAGGCTCTGCTTTGTATGCAGAAGGTCCCAGGTTCAGTCCTGGGCATCTCCAGTTAAAAGGACCGGGCAGTGGCTAATGTGAAAGACCTCTGCCTGAGACTCTGGAGAGCCACTGCCGGTCTGAGTAGACAACAGTGACCCTGATGGATCAAGGGTCTGATTCATTGTAACGCAGGAGAGTCAGAAAGGTTCCCAATCTCAACACCTGTTCTCGTTATGTCATTATCTGGCTACCTATTTCTGCAGAAGGGACGGTGGCATGATATGGCGGCCTCATCTCATCAGATCTCAAAAGATAAGTGGGGACAGTACTTGGGCGAGAGGTCCACACGGAAGGCTCTGCAGAGGAAGCCAACGGCAAACCACCTCTGCCCTTTGCTGGGGTCGCCATGAGTCAGTTGTGCCTTGACAGTGCATACCTAAGCATTTCTGCTGAGAAGGCCAGATGGAGAATGTGCCTTTGGCTAGCTCATTTCTCCTCTACTTTCTACAGGAAGAAGAGGGCTTATCCTGCCACAATACGGGCTGTGTTTCCAATTCTGCTTTGGAGTGAAAACACTGGCAAGAACTTACTGATTTGGACATTTCGGTAATTTATGATTATAATTTTAAAAGAAATGGAAAAAGAAGCCATACGCAAGAGAAGAGGAAGAGGCAGACAATGTTTTGGTGTTCCGTCTAAGCTGAACTCCATATAGATTTAGTACGATCTCCCATCACATACCGGATTCAAATGCCTGTAGCGAATGAGCCAGGCAAGATCCACGTGGTTCAGAAAAATTCTCTATCTTTCTGCACTACCCACCACCTCAGAACAGCCTGCCATTCATCTCCCAAGGTAAGGCATCAAAACAACCTTACCAGAAAAAAGAAGAGCTGGTTTTATACCCCGCCCTTCACTCAGAGTGGCTTACCATCACCTTCCCTTCCTCTCCCCACAACAGACACCCTAAAAGGTAGATGGGGCTGAGAGAGCTCTGAGAGGGCTGTGACTGACCCAAGGCCACCCAGCTGGCTGCATGTAGAGGAGTGGGGAATCAAACCCGGTTCTCCAGATTAGTGTCCGCCATTCTTAACCACTACACCAGGTAAAACTTAAGCAGCAACTTACCTTTCCTGACAAAGGACCCACTGCAGGTCTCTTCCTCTGTGCATAACCTGAAAGTCTGTAACAGTAGTGAGGCTTGCAGTAGAATTTCCCTACGAAGAGAACAGAGAGGAAGAATGATAGTGAAGAAACTGGAAGCTACAAACTTGGTAACACTGTGAGGTGCCACAGATGCTTTGCAGTCTCCACTTTCTCTACTCTTTCACATCTGATTGATACTGCATTTCAAAAAGTTTTAATTCAAGTGTATTCCTTCCTTCCTTCCTGGAAAATAATGCATCTTCCATAGGGTGCCTGACAGTTATTTAACCAACACCCAATCAGCTATCAGAGCAGCCCCGGGAAACTTGCGTGGTATCGCACACTAACAAAGCGGCACTGTGTCAGGAACAAAGGCTGCATCACATGAAAATCTGGCAGAAGTGCTGGTGGAAAAGGCAAGAATGAAGGCAGGGAGGGAAAGGCCGAGCATTAACTCTAAACAGACCACTGCCTGCCAGTGTACAAAGGCCAAGCCCAGATGATATCTAGTTGCAAATCTCTCAGATGTTACCCTGATTATACACACAGCACAACAGCAAATGAAACTAATGAAATCAGGGATATGGTACAAGATTCTCCAATGTGCCAGTGAGGCTTTTAAACAAACTTCAAGGGCAGCTTCATGATAGCGTATTGCAGCAGTCAAGTCCAAAGATGCAAAGGTAGGTGCAATAGCACCCCAGTCTGGCTTTTATAATCTTGGGACGCTCATGCACCTTGAACAAAGAAGACAGGATGTGAGAACTGCATCTGGCCCAAGAAACGCACACAATATATTATAGCATGTTAGGGGGTCAAAAGTTTCACACTGATGACTACTAACAAGCAGGGGTCATTTCCTGTGGGAGCTCACAGGAGCGGAGCTCCGGCAGTAAGGAGCCCAGGGAGTGGGCACAGGCAACAAGCCCCACCCCCCTGCTCCCAGCAGCCCTCAGTCGGGCCACGGGGAGCAAGAAGCAGCCAGGTAAGTTGCCACGTTCCACGCCCCCCCCATAGCTAGCAATCAAAAACAGTCCAGTGTCACATTTAAAACAAAGTTTTATTCAGGTACGAGCTCTCCCTCCTCTGTGAGGACAGATCTGCACGTCCCCGTCCCCCCCAATAACTAGCAATCCAAAACAGTCCAGTGGAACCTGAGCAGTGGGTGTTGCCTGTAGCCACACAGGGGGTGTGGTATATGCAAATAAGTTATGCTAATAAGTTATGCTAATAAGCTCCTGCACCTCTTTTTCTACGAAATGACCCCTGCTAACAAGATAAAACATCTGCTATGCCATCATGGTCCCATCCCCTTACTCATACTCTTAAGCAATATATGCTATTATCTGCCATCAACAAACTCCTTTTATTACCTTATTATTGGTAGTATTATCACCATCATCACAATTATCATTATTATTACTATTTAGCAGAGCAGCAAGAACTTTTTTGGCACCTGATTTTATTTTCTGTGCAAAATTTGGCAAAGAGCTGCTGAGCCCCACCAACATCCTTCCGTGGGGCACAGCAGGTAGAGTTCAGCTGGATGCTGCCCAACACCACTTGCCCCCGAAGTGATGCCTGTGGGCACCATGGTGCCAGCCAACATCTTTCCTGGCACCTACCAAGTGTTTTTAGAAAGCGGGAGGAGGGGAGGCTCTTAACCAGCAAGGCTTCTGATTTGATGTGAAGATTTTTGAAAGTCATTTCAGTGGTAGCTGCTATCAGTGTTGGTTTTGTTCTCACTCTCTCATTCATGTGATCTAGTGTATTTTTAAAATTCTTCTCCCCTGCACTTGAGCTTCCTGTGTGTGTGTGTCTGCAGCTGCCATTTTGTGGTTGTGCCTGTTTCAGAATTTCAAAGGTGTCCCCCGCAGGCTACAAAAGGTTGGGAAACCCTGTCCTACACAACAGAACAGACTGACACGTATTTGGCATTAAAGACTGCACCATTCAGAGACCGCTAACCTTCAGAGGAAGAATACAACACAAAACTTCTGAACTAGGACTGAGCACTATCACTCCCCCGGCTTAACCGGAAACTTGGCTTTCTCACTCACTACAGGCGTTAATAGCTCAGCAGGTCCCCATCCACCCCGAAATGTCAACTGGTTCTTATTGGGTCATAATTGTAGTATCATATTGCATCAAACTGCAATGTTTAATTTTTCATATGTTTTACACTGCGTTTTCTGTTATTAGATTTTTTGTTTATCCTGTTTTGCCTTTTTGTTTATCCTGCTCTGCCTATCTTCTATACCCACTCTGAATTAATTTATTACTATTTTGATTGGATCTATCTGCAGCCCTGTGAGAAGGTGGAACTTCTGACCTCTCTTATCATTCATTATAAGCAACAACCACATCAGGTCTAACCCCTTTCAAAGGAACTCACACCTGTATGATTTATAAGAGGAATTAAGCTATGGAATCTCTTAGTCTTCCCCTTGTAATTCTTGGCTATAAAGGCTATAAATGAGGAAGTACAGTCTGACATAAAAGCTGCAATAAGCTTTGTTAATCTCCCTGTCATTAGAGTTCTGTTTTATTTCATTAACAAAGAATGAAAGCCTGATATATTCAGCATATAGGAAGACCCAAATTTGAACATTCCTTCTATCAGAGCACAAAGGGATAATCTCTCACCTTTTGCCCCGAGACAGATCAAGATGTGTAGCTGTGTTAGACTGTCTGTAGCAGTAGAAAAGAGCAAAAGTCCTGTAGCACCTTCAAAACTAACCAAATTTGTAGCAAGGTACGAGCTTTCATGAGTCACTGCTTAGTTCTTCAGAAGAAGTGAGCAGTGACTCACAAAAGCTTGTACCCTTTCCCCTTTGAAACTTTCTTGGTGAAGAGTTTTGTACCAACTCTCCAGACATGCAATTTGTTGCTCACTGTGTGTTCTATTATTGTTACTGTGAAAACTCACTTCATGCTTTTGTAAGAAGAGCTTCATGCCCTTAAATTTAGTCACCCTGAACTCAAGAATGTCAGTTGTGTTCATGAACTATCTATAAATAACAAATGCCAAACAATCCAAAGCTATGTGGCAACAGCACCTTCAATTTATTCATGCTGTTCTGATGAATTATTTTTTCCTTAGGCTATTACCTGTAGACACTCAAATATACTCAGGCAACTGCTTGAGAGCCCTGGCATCTCCTAGACCAAGGGTCCCCAACCTTTTTGAGCCTGCGAGCACACTTGGAATTCTGACCCAGCTTAGTGAGTGCAACAACAAAATGGCTGCCACAAAATGGCTGCTGCCGGAGGCGGAGCCAGCCACAAAATGATTGTCACAGCTTGACTTAAGTAATACAGTGCAGATCATTGTGGTTCGGTGGCAGCTGCTGCCAAAGCAAATTTTTTTAAAAATCTGCACAGCCAATCAAATCTCCAATAGTCCATCAGAAGTCTTGCTGGGCAAAAGCTGCACCTGGCCCCACCCTCTTCCTGGCAGGCACCATGGAGCCCGCAGGTACCACGCTGGGGACTCCTGTGCTAGACCACATTTGCATACAATGGACTGGCAAGAGAGACTGGCCAAAAAAGAAGAAAAAGAATAAAATTGTTGTTAAAAAACTGATGCGCTTGGAGAGGAGTTTCTTACTCAAGATTGTATGAGAGTTCTCAAGTCTGACCCCCTGCTTCAACCTGCTTCAGCTCCACTCTTGACCAACATTCATTGTCAACACAATGACTACATTCTGTGCAGCAGCTTTGGATGATGTACTTGCAGTGGAGGAAGTCATGAAATTCTGAGCGTACTAAGGCTCTATGGACATCTAAGAGCCAAACTAGATGTGATGGAATCCTTGTGGTCACCATGGGGCTACCACTGCCATTCTGAGGTGATTTCAAAATGCCGCAAGGCAGCGCGTTGCTCTTGTCATCCCCTCTCCCCCCGCACCTTTCAAAATGCTAAAACAGCCACGGAGGGAGGAAGCAGAGAGGTGGGGAACCAGAGTCCTCGACTGTGTGGCTGGCCCAGTCAGGACTGGGCCCTCACGGCATTTTTAAATCACAAAATGGAAGCGTGCCCCTGTGGCAGCCACGAGGAAGTCGTCTCATCTAGATCGGCTCCATACAGCTTATTTCTAAGGTAAAAACTGAAGGGGTTTGCAACCCCCATAAGGCAAAAGATAACTTTTGCTTACCGTCCACCAGGTCATAGGCGTACGATGATAAACGCAGGGTGGTGGCACAGTATTCGCACTTGAAGCAGCTGCGGTGGAAGAACTTTCCTTCGGCGCTCAGCCTTTCCATCACGTAGACACGCTTGTGGCAGAAGTAGCAGACGTCGCTGCCTCCCACATTTGGGGGGAATTCTTTCTTTAATGAACCCTACAGCAGAAGGGACAGGGGAAGACCTTAAGAGAGTCATTTGCTCGCTGCCACTGCCTGTCTACATTGGGATAATTCTGAAACTTGCAGAGGGGCACTGATGGTGCTCCAGTCAGAAGCATGTATGCCAAACGCGCACCCATGGATAGTTCACAAAGGCTCGGGTATTGGGGAGAAAAAGGTCAGCCAGGAAGATCACTCCATAAACCGTAGCTTTCGACCCACTGAGAATAAGGAGCCTGAGAGCACAGGGGAGACTGATGCAGATTATATGTCGTTCTCTTTCAGTCCTCACACACACCCACACCCATCTATGAAATGGGAATGGCAACTTACCTCAGCGAACAGTTGGAAGGATGGGGTAAGAATTATAAGGCAACTTTGCTCACTAAAGGATCACAGAAAGGATCACAGAAAGGGCGTAACAGTAACCCTCTTCCCAGATCCAGGGTATAAAACCACTGCTGAAGTTAGGCCCTGATATAACCATTCTGAAGTGAATGTGCCCCCCAATAGCTTCCAAAGACACGGCCTCACACTGAGGGGGTAGAGCACGCTCCCTCCCACCGAATCTTGTATCTCATATTCATTGGCAACCTTATAAATCAATTTATTTTATTTATCAAATTTATACCCCACCCCACCCCGCCAAAGCAAGACATTTTCAGAATTACTACGTTCAGATGGAAGAACAGGCTAGTAAGACATCGTCTTCAAGCTACCGTTAAGAAAACATCAAGGGAAAAGCTAAAAGACTCCGCAGGAGTACGGGAGACCTATGGGAGAGTGCCATCTATTTTCTAGTCACAAACACGCACCACCTTCGGCACACTGTTCTCTTACCAGTTCCTTCTTGCCTAGAAGGGTTTTAGGCTGGTCTCTCCTTTGAAGCTGATTGGCTATCTGCTCAGCCAATGAGCTCACGCCGCCTGTGTACATCTTTATATACTTCTACCAGATGAGGGTAATGGGGCGGATGGAGGAGGAACACAGGGAAAACGAGGGAAGAGAGAAACAATTTAAATGCATGATGAAAACTAGGAAAGAAAAAATGGCTAAAAGGTGCAGAGAGGGCTCAAACCATGCCAAGACCGTGGACGATGCAAGCACTGGTGGTGACAGCGAAACAAGTGATGTCAGCAATCACTGGCCGTGGCAGTATTACATGTAGAGTTAACTAAAACAGTTTGCCATCAACGACACTAAGATCCTGATAAACTATTGGGGGAGGGGGTCAGAGAACCAGTTTGAGAAGTGGGAGGTGAAAGGTCAATGAGTATCATTTCTCAGAACTGCCTCCTTCAACCCTAATTTTCTCTTCTAGATCAGCAACCGAGAAGCTGGCTTAGGAGCTGCTGACTTCCTCACACTAATAAGTCAAAGAGTAACAGGGTACGTGGAGATGTCTGAACAGATACACGCATTGGTTCAGAGAGAGATACGAATATGCTGGGATATCATAAACACTGATTTCCCCCAGAGTGAGTCTGCAGTCTGGAAAGACTGAGGATGTCATGGAAGAAACAGTACAGAAAGATACAAAACTTAATTGTTCTAAATTAGCCTACGTTCATATCCATGCCAACGAACAATTAAGAATCATTCCTTAGAGGTCAATAAAAATACTACCAAGTTCTCTGCCTTAAGCCCTATGTGGTCAGGGACCAACATACCTATGGGACGAACATTCCCCATATGTGCTCCGAAGAGCGTTACGCTCAGCCAAGCAACACCTTCTAGTAGTCCCCAGCCCAAAAGATGTCTGTTTAGCCTCAACAAGGAGGGCCAGGGCTTTTTCTGTCCTGGCCTGGTGGAACATGCTCCCACTGGAGATCAGGGCCCTGCGGGACTTATTACAGTTCTGCAGGCCCTGTAAAATGGAGCTGTTCCACCAGGCCTTTGGCTGGGGCGGCCGACGTCTAATCCATCCATCCATCGTATTGCTACAGTGCTGTAGTGCCCTGGCTGACTTGCCCTGCATAAGAGAATGACAAGCTCCACCAGCCAAGAAGTCGCTATTTTGTGATCATCTTAATTAGCGTCCTTCAGAAGGCATCTGAACTCCCCAAATAGCTGCCATCTTTGATCTGACTAGTAATTTTATTGTGAGCTATTAACTGTTGTCTTAATGTTTTAATTGTTCTATGTATTTATTTATTTATTTAACTTTTACCCCGCCCTCCCCGCCAAGGCGGGCTCAGGGTGGCTTCCACAAACTGATGAAGAATATACAATTCACAGATGATAAAATCATTTAAAACACAGACAAATCAATTTAAATATATTTTAATATATTAAATATTTATTAAATATGGTAAATATATTAAATATTTTAAATATTATATATATTTATATTTAAATATATATTTAAATATATATTTAAATAATATATATAAATATATTAACTAAATTATTTATACACACACACACACACACACACACACACACACACACCGTGTTTCCCCGAAAATAAGACACTGTCTTATGTTTATTTTTTCTCTAGAAGACACACTTGGGCTTATACCACAAATACATATAAATCCTGCTAGGGCTTATTTTTGGGGTAGGTCTTATTTTCGGGGAAACAGGGTATATGAGTGAGAGACTTGCTGTGACATATATATAATAGAGAGAGACTTGCTGTGACCCACCCTGAGCCCGCTTGCGGGGGAGGGCAGGATATAAATCAACTCAAATCAATAATAAAATAAAGTGCTATTCAAACAGAATCCAACACCAAAAAAAGGTCGCTAAAGTACTACGTTACACATTAGGGAGGGATACACATTACTGCTCTAGCCCCCGATTGTGCACATCCCCCCATGGACAGCATCCTCCCATCTCCAAAGTGTGTGGAGTGGGGAAGAAAGTCGAAGGAAGGCTGCATGGCCACTTTGAAGAAAACAGAACCCCAAGCCGATAAAGCGGGCCGAAGAACCTTTCAGCAACGCGTGCTCTATCTGCTATCATAAGTGGGTCTGCTTTGTACAGGAGTGCATTAGAACAAGCTTCTGTACTCAGGTTCTAACTACCAGAGACTCAGAAGGAATGGGAACGGATCACTAGCTGTTGTTCTGCTAGATCCAACCAAAGAACCATCTTGGTTGGTGATGGAAGACGGGGCCTTCTTAGTAGCAGCAGCCCAGCTGTGGAATACTTTTGCCCTCTCCCTTCACCTGGCACAGTTACTGAACGTCTTCCAATGCTAGGCTACGACTTCTTTAAAAATTCAACAAGTTTAGGAGAAATCCCCATCACTGGCTGCTTGCCCCCCCCCCCCCACATAAACATATTGAAGTTTCATTGGCTGTTTTTTTCTTGGTTTTACTGTTACTGCTGATTTTAATTGGCGTTTGGTTTCAGGGTTCATTCGGGATTTATTATTGCATGTATTTTCCCCCACTACGCCCTAAACATGAATACAGAAAAGCAATGTATAAATATTTAAATAAATGAAAAATCCTATTTCCAAATGTGACCTCCTGGAAATGTGGTCCTTCTGAAAAGCTCACCAGCTGGGGAAGAAGATAACATTCCTCTACAGACACAAACAACCCCAGCCACAGCCCACAACTGGTATTCAGATGCATTCAGGCCATGGAACATAGAAATTCCTTTTTGCTATCATGACTAAGCCACTGACAGCTCTGTCCTTCACCAACCTGTCTAATCGCCACTTGAAAACTAAGTCGCTGCCCGTGACCACAACTTGTGCCAGCCAAATTATGCACTGTGGAAACTATTTTGTTTTCTCTGTCCTGAATCTACTGCCCATCAATCTTGCTAGATGGCCCCAAGTTTTAGTATGGTAAGTATATGGAGAGAGGTGTCATAGGTATTTGAAATAAACAAATCTTGTTTTCCAGGAACTTTCTCCACAATATTCAAAACTGTACAAGCATCTAACATGTCTCCTCTCAGTCATGTGAAACTGATTTCATTTGTCCTCGCATGCATCATTTTGCAATTAAACTGGACTTCATTTACTGTTGTGTTGCTTGATCACCCGGTCTGAATACGTTTGGAGCTTTCAGTTTGCTTAGATTTTCATCTCCCAGCTTGATATCCTCCGCCAAGCTGGCAACTTTATTACTCATGTCTGACGCCAGATTATTTGGGAATAAATTAAACAAATATCAGTCTCAGTACAAATCTTTGTACTTTATTTCTCCCCCATTTTATCAACTGTATATTCTCACCCTCTGTGTCCCAGTGTTTTGGCTTGTTACCAATCCATAAGAGGATTGGCAACATCCTCTTATTGCACAGCTAGTAAGTTTACTCAGGACTACTGGCAAGTGGCTTCAAAGCATCTTGGGAGTGCAAATATTTCTACTGGATTACTCTAATCTTTCAAGGAATTCTAAAAGTGTGATATGCTAGGGCTTCCCTTTGAAGAGGATATGCTTATCAGGGGCATACTGGCCATTTGACTACAGGGAATTTTCCTGTTGGGCTTCTGATGGCCAACTACAAGCAGAGCCAAGCCCCAGGAACTTTCCAGCATGTTCCGTGGCCACCTGGCTCAGACCCTCCAGCAGCAATGATGGTGCCAGCTCATTCACTGCCTCCTACAACACTGCAAACAGCTTGTAGAAGAAAGCACTGAGAGATCCAAATGCCCATTGCTGATGACGTTTAGGCAAGTAGCCCCACAACACTGACTTGTAGTGCTGCTCAGCCTGGCTTGCCTCAAGGTCATTTTAATATCCCAGTCTCTTCCTTATTCATCCTTAGCAAGGGTTGTTCTTCTGTATGTATAACAATTCTAACACTTGCTTTTCATCAGTTTACTTGGGAGAGATGTTGGACTAATGAGACTGTGATGATCGCATTTCTTAGTTCTTCAGATGCCCTCCACCAAAACATGCGGTATAAGCCTGGGTGTCCTTTCCAAATTAAGAAGAAGAATAAGAGAAGAAGAGTTTGGATTTATACCCCGCCCTTCACTACCCAAAGGTGTCTCAGAGCGGTTTACAAACTCCTTTCCCTTCCCCTCCCCACAACAGACACCCTGTGAGGTAGGTGGGGCTGAGAGAGCTCTGACAGAAACTGCTCTTTTTTCAAGAACAGCTCTTATCAGAGCTACGGCTTGGCCAAGGTCATCCAGCCAGGTGCAAGTGGAGGAGTGGGGAATCAAACCCGGTTCTCTCAGATTAGAGTCCGCACACTTAACCACTACACCAAATTGGCTCTCGAACAATGCAAAGAACAATGCAAAGAAACCACTTAGTTCCTCTACAGTCTCCCTATCCTCCTTTAGACACCCTTTTAGATCCCTGCCATTTAACTGTCCAACCAGATCCCTAGCTGGTGTCCAACTTTTGATTATTTAAAGGAATTGTTATTGCTTGCTTTGGTATTTTTAGCAGAGTGCGCCGCAAATTCATTTTGACTTGTCCTTCCCAATTTACACTAACTTTGCCATAATTTGCGCTGCTTTTTAATTATTTTGTTAAGTTCTTTAATTTGCAAGAGGAGAAAGGCAGAAAGAGCGTCAAACCCAAAATTTCTAGGGAAGTGAATAAGGGCTGAGACCCTGTATCACAAAGCCCTGTAAATTCAAACAGAATTCTTCAGGCAGTACATGAAATAATCTGAAATGTGCAACATCTGTTAACTGCAGAAAGAGTAGAGGGATTTGTAAAACTGAGTTCAGCCAAAATGCATTCAAAATGAACTATTCAACTATATCTCCTGTGGTTACCAGTACATTTTGGGGCCCAGTAGCACCTTAAAGACTAACAAAATTTGTGATAGATGAAATAAACTGAAATGTGCAACATCTGTTAACTGCGGAAAGAGTAGAGGAATTTGTAAAACTCAGGCCGCGGTCACACGTAACAGAAGCCACACAAGGGAGACGGAAAACAGCCGGAGTTTCCGGGCGCGATCTCACCAGCACATCTGGGAAGCGTAGCACTCCCGTGGCTCAACCGAGGCTTCCAGCCGAAACTGCGTGGCAAAAAACTAGTACCTTGGAGGTACTAGTTTCCGGAAACTCCGGGGCAAGGGCGGGCGTCTGATCGCGTTTCCGGTGGCATCCGGCGCCCGCCCATGTCCCCTTGCAAATAAGGTGTTTTTTTTTTGTCCAAGTCTCTGTGGATGCGCATGCGCACCCACCGGAGCATGCGCATTTGTCATGTACACAAAAATAAAAAACAGTTTGCCGCGGCGCGCGCTTCTTCGTTGCGCGCCGGCTTGTCCTGTGATCGGCACCTCTCCCTTGCCATGGAACCTCCACGGTACCTCCACAGAACCTCCACAGGAGGTCTGATCACGTAACTGCGCAGTAGTTTGCCCCAGGGCAAACAGCCACGCTTCTCCTCTGCAGTTTCCTGCCCGTGTGACCGGGGCCTCAGTTCAGCCAAAATGCATTCAAAATGACCTATTCAGCAATACCTCCTGTGGTTACCAGTCTATTTTGAGACCCAGTAGCACCTTGAAGACTAACAAAATTTGTGGTAGGGTTAGAGCTTTCGTGAGTTGCTGCTCACTTCTTCAGATACTCAGCGACTCACAAAAGTTCATACCCTGCCACAAATTTTCTTAGTCTTTAAGGTGCTACTGGACTCTTACTCTTTCCTACTGCTACAAACAGACTAACATGGCTACTCATCTTGATCTATTTTGGGGCCCAGTTCAAGGTCCCAGGCTTTGGCCTATAAAGCTTTAAACAGTCTTGTTCTATAGTGCAAGTATGTCTACTCCTATGTGGACCTCCCTGGAGTATGAGAATGACAGGACAGGCCTTGATTAATGTATCATCATCTTTGGAGACAAGATTGGCCTCTGTTAGATGGAGGGCCTTCTATGTAATCCTAGCATCAGATACTGTCCTTGCTGCCTTTTCATAATTAGATGAAAATGTATTTGTTCCAGAGGGGGTTTGATGGGCGTGGCCGACCCACATTACAGGCTGTTGACATTCATCAACTATTTGAGCCAGTTATTTTGATTCAAGAATTTGTAGAGTGTTTTAGCACCTTTTTAGACATTTAAATAACTTGTACAATTTCTTCACCTCTTTTGACACTTGGATGACAAGCGCTGTAGAGAGTCAGTCAGCTTATGGCTGAACTCATGATTCAGTCTGGATAGTTTTATATTGTAAAGCTCACACTAACTCAGCTTAGAGGGAACACTGGCAGTGACCCACTTCAGACAGCACCAGCAACTGGGAGTGACCCACAGGTTCATTTGCGCCTCTTTCTCCCCTTGTCTGTGTGAATCCCCCCCCCACTTTCTTTCTTAACAATAACTATGTTCACCACGACATCTGAACAGCACAGTCAACACAGTTACCACTAAGCATAGCTTGCTCTAAAACACTCTTTAGCATGAAGGTAAATTCAAGTTAGCAGTCATTATAGTAGCCCCAGTTCCAACGCTGCAGTAACTGCTAAGAAGGAAAGGAAGGGGAAGGAGTGTGAGAGCTCAACAGCGAAAGAGCTCACAAACCCACAGGGCATTCCTGATCACCAAACCATGCTTTGGCAAACCGGGCCCAGGATGCCTTAACTGAGCAAGCGAATCACGAGGCATTAAGTTACTGATCTGGAGATGGAAAAATCTAATTTTGGGTGACAAAGGACTCCATTGTGGGTATATTTCTTTGTAAAATTGTCCCAAGTGCTGCTGTCCTCTCCCCACTCAGCTTTAGCCAGGGACTTCAAAGTGTGCAGGATGCGCCGTCTTACTTCAATATCTTATAAGACTTGATGTGGCCAGGATACAATGACAGCCCAAGCTTTGCCATTTGCAGGCACATAGGCCAAAGCTCAGCCATAGTGACATCAACGATCTGAAGACAAGAGCCTAACTTTTATCCTGCGAGACATTCCCAGGTGGCGGAAGATGGGAGTAGGCCAAAGTGCGCAGCCGAATGCAGCTTCAAGCCCCACACCATGCTACCTGTCTGAGGGAGTCTGATGAGGGAGAAGCCGGGCGGCTGGAAGAACGGAGGCTAAGGGAGCGCTCCCACTGTTCACCCACAGATCGACGAGATCGCTCGGTCTCTGGCTACAAAATAAAGTTGAGAAAGTCATAAGAGGAATACGGCATTTTTAGAAGCCCTTGGAGGAGGAGGAAGAAGAGGCAGGCTTCTCTATCCTCACGGGAAAACCCGCTCTGCTTATGCGGAACTTGCCAGCACTGCCAGATACTTAGAGAAATGGCATCACATTGAATCCATCCACTAATTTCATCCAAAGGATTTCCTAGCCCTTTCCTCCCAGGTTTTAGATATAACAGAATTTATCAAGAGGGGAAGATTTATAAAGCCCCATGGCTTGTGAAACTGTACCACTTGGGAGATATACTTGCAATAAGTATGAGAAATTTTTACAGGAAGTTTAGAAAGAGTGGAAGAGGACATCCTTGGGAAGGAATGCGTGAAAATGTCCTGGTTATGAAGCAATACAAGCATTCCTAATCAGAGGGAAGGAAGAAGTAATGTCCTAAAAGTACCATGCAACAAAAGTCTTGCTCTTGTAAAATAGGATGCAGGTCTTCCCCTCCCCCCCAAATAAGAGAATTTAGCATTAGGATGAGCTATTGTACGATTACTGTGTGGGAATAGAAAAAGTGTTTTGATCCTTACTTGATGCTGCACGATTGAATTATAGGCACTGGAAAGCTAGGTTAATAAAGCAGTGCACATGCCATTTTATTTCCCTTTTTTTAAGTATTACAAGCCAATTTGCTGGTTTAGATTTACATACCATTACAGATTGCTTGGGGATACTATTTAAATGAGCCAGTTTGATAGATCACTGATGCCAAGAACCAGTCCCGTACTATAGACACTGTTCTTCTCTGACCTGACATGCTAATTTGCCCTCTGGTTAGATGTACATTATAGATTTTTATCCTACTCCATGGACACAGAAACATTACTCTTGATCAAAAGCCCTTTCAGTGTTAGTAGCCTCTACCCCATCCAACCTACACTCCTTATAGTGGTACTCGAAGGACACCCAACTTGAGAAAAGGCAAAGTATTGCTTCAGCCAACAACAAAATTTGTTAGTGATAAGCAAAGTGAAATAGCATTTTTTCCCCTTAGAGTGCTTGAAAGAATTAATGTGATAGTGTAATGTGATCAGCCATCACACACTGCATCTGATGCCAACCACGTTATGGTCCAAACAACGGTCTGTTTCCTGTTCTCCAGGGCTGCAAGCAGATACAAAGCACCAGCGGACAGGGAGGCAAATCACCTGATGGCCGGTCGTTGGCCTCTGCTCCAGGAGGGCAGCCAGTTGGCTTGCCCGCTGCTTAATGGAAAGTGTGCGCACTGGCACATGGTCATCTGAAAAGAATTGGTGAGGTCCCTGCAGAATAACGAATGAGGAAAGTGAGCAAGAGGAACTGGGAGGAAAAACCAACATCCATGGACAAGCACAGCTGCTCTAGGAAGAGAAGCAAAGCTGAGGACAAGGCCAACCACACACAATTCCAATAGCTACATGTCGAAGGGCAGGGTTAGAGAAAATTTGACAATCTTCTGGATAAGGTTGACTTCCCCCTTGCCAGCTGTGGGACACACACACAATCCCAAACGAAGAGAAAGTCTGGAATTCTGTCAGTGGCAGCTTCCACCCCCAATGGCAAAGGGACTCTCTGCAGGAAGGGTATGGAAGGCCTACAAATAAGGCAGCCAAATAAAAGCTTAAAGACTGTAATAGACATAATTAGATGACTTGGACCTGAATGTAGGCACAGAAGCCATGATGGTGAAAATGGGGTTGCACTGACCTGTAACTGTTGTTCATCGAGTGGTCTTCTGAGCAAGCATGCATCCCTCCCTCCTGCCCCACTGTGAACTCTCTGGAACCCTAGTTTCTTGGGGTACCCAGGGGTGGCATGGAGAGAACTGAGGGAGTAGCGCCCCCTCCTGGTCATGTGATGGTTTTGGCAGGAAAGCACCAGCAGGAGTAGGGGTGCTCCTAGCCAGCTACAGAACCTTTGGAAATCTTTTCTGCAGTCCGTGTGTGTGCCTGCACAGAAGACTACTTGACGAACAACAGTCACAGGTAAGTGCAACTCTATTTTGTATGTTCTCAGTTATGCAGATGAGTTTTCTCAAACTGGCTCTTTGCTGATCTCTTGTTCAGCCTACTGATGTAGTTCGGCTCTTTAATTGAACACGGTTGCTGACCCCTGCTCTAGAAGAAGGTCTCTCTCCCTGATTTCAAAGGATTGCAAACATGCTCAGGGCTGTAGTCTTACAAAGTTCTGCAACCCTACGGGAACAGAACAACATTAACTCCATATGCATGGTCTAGTTGATTTGGAATGCAAACTGATCCTGAATAGCTGGGAGAGCTTGCCTGTTGCATTCCACTGCTGAGCAGAACTGAGCAGAGGAACCGTAGAGCACCAGCAGTATAAGTGGTGGTGGTGGTGGGGAAACACTGCTGAGTTGCCTTCCTCATTCCTCACCCCATTCACACTTTTAACCTGGTTGTCTAAAAGACCAGATGCAATGCTAAGCTGGTGAGCAGAGTGAGGGGAGCCCAAAACGCCACGAAAGAGAAGCGACAGCAAAACTGTGCAACAGGTGATCCCACCCAAGAAGAGGCTAACAACTCTGCTCCAGTACAATCTCTCCAATTAAAAAGAAAAACCAAAATTCACAGTGATGATATGTGCAAGACTGTAAATGTACACACAGGGCATACTACTGAGAGTGGGCAAATGCCTATCAAAGCTGGTACGTTTCCGTGAATGCCACAAACACACACACACACAAAACATCACTGTGTTCAGAAACTTCTTCCGTAAGTCTGGAGTGTTAGTACTGGCACAAGACTATTCCCTCCTCCCCATAACATTGCCCCAAGATTACACGCTCCTTCTATTCATGCTGTTCTTGCTCATGCTATGTTACCCATTCCTGACTGGGACTCCGTTCTCCAGCTGGATCGGCATGAGGTTCCCTTCTTATCTGTAGGCAAAATAATTACTTGAAACACAAAAACAAACCTCCCATACATAAAGCCACAGCACAGTTAAACTAGAAGTCTTCCCTATAAGAGAAAACATTGAAAACCATTGTCCCAGATACGTTTTGGCGTTTGGCAAAAGCCATGTGGATCCAGTGCATAATATATCAGTGCAGTGCAGTTCTAATACAGAGGAGTTAAATACAAACACGCTGTATGTGAACTGTGTTAGTATACAGTGACAGGAAGGACATTTCAAGGGTGAAAAAAGAGGAGTGAGAAGAAGGGAAAGGTCACAAGAAAAAGTAAAATTCGTGCATTTAAAGTCTATCTTGAAAAAAGCTTCCCTTTGAAAATGACAAAGAGTATTGCTTTTAGGCACAGGGAATACAAAGTCCATGAAGTGGATACTCCATAATTTGAGAAGGGGAGATAAGGTTAAGTGTATTAAAAGAGTAATGACTTGGAGGAATTTCAGACAGACGATATAATCCGGAGGAGGAGCAGTTCCCAAACGGTTTCTGGTCTGTTATTTCAGACAGAACTGTTTTAGAACCGGTTCCCTACTGGAATATATTTGTAATTTCACACACAAACGCTTCTGTCCCATTTAGGAAACGGGGCTGAAGCGTTTTACCTGTCAACCGCTTCCAAGTAGTCTTCAGTTTCCTCTCCCAGTTCCGATGCACTTTTTCCCGCCGTTTTTCGCCCGCGCAAGCGATCTCCGGCTTTGCAGGCGATCTCCGGGTTTTTTTTTAACGTTCACTTTAGAGTGCTATAACGGCATAACGCAACGGCATTATATCAACCCCATTGGAATGCCTGGAGTGTTGTGTTATAGCACTATAGCGCTATAGCGCTCTAAAGCGAACGTTCAAAAAAAAAAAGCCAGAGATCGCCCATGCGGGCGAAAAACAGCGGGGGGAAAGCAGGAAAAAGCGGTGCAGTCTGAAATGGCAAACCGCTTCAGATCCAGCTCTTTACCGGAAGGGAAAAGCCATGTGTGAAATGGCAGCCCTATACCGGTTTACTCCATGACGGATCAAAAACGGCTTCAAAACGGGTTAAAAAGGGTAATGTGAAATTCCTCTATGTCTTTAGTTTGGACTATTACTCCCAAGGGAAAAAAAAGATCCCTGGAGGCATCTTGGGTTGTCCTGGATATTCATACAGATAAGGTCTTGCTCAAATTTAGTTTCCTGCAGCACAATAACCCGCTTGAATTTAAAGGAAAGAGGCTAATATACAAATAGAGTTACTATCATGAGAATTCCACTATTGTTCGTTGTTCACTATCACCATGGTAAATTACTTCAGTTTGGGCTTAACTAAACACTATACTGGCAATTTTAAAAAACTGTTCTAAGACATAGTTTATTAGATTGGCAGTATCCCATCTGGAAGTTAACTCCTCTGTTGACTGAGCAGAAGTTTGTGATTCTCACCACAGTTTTCCCAAAAGTGAGCTGAATAGCCACTTCTGCATTATTAACGAAAATATCCAAATGTACAGAGGCTTTAATCCAAGGTCCGAATATTTAGTATAGCCTCTTGGAACTAGGATGGTCTTATTTGAACAGGCACATTTCCTCAGAAGTAAAATAGTACAAATAATGTTTTATGGACATCAGAAGGACCAGACAAGAAGTGGGCTTCCCAAAATTCCAAAGGAAAGCAATGTAGCTGAACTTAGGCTTTCTAGAGGGACACCACGCCAGTTAGTGAGAATCAGTGTTAGCACAAGTAGTACAGCAGACTGCAGAAAAACAAAATGGCGGAAGGCTAGACTCAGCAGAATATGAAACTCTCAGCCATAGTATCTTAGAACCCCTCTGTTACTCAGGTAACCAAGGAGCATCATGGCCTCCTATCATCACACAAGGGAAGAAGCTGTATCAAGGGGGCTGAGTTCCCAGAAATGGAAGGGACTCTTTGAGACTCCTTAACTGACAGAAGGATCCAAGGACATCAAATCTGCTCTGCTCCCTTTCCTGTACCATCTCCAAGAATCCACTTCTGGAGTGCAATCAATAAACTATTTCCAGAAGAAGGAAATTGGTGATAGAGCCAGTGTACAAAAAAAGTGCTTTAATATGTTGGATCAATACAAATATGAATTCCCAAAATGCGACAGCAGGCCCAATCTGAGCTACCGGGGGGGGGGGGGGGGGTTTCTGTTTCTCCCCCCCCCCCCCCGTGTCTGTCTGTCCCTCCCTTTAAGTTTGTCTGTGTGGATTGGCATCTTTGGTACAAGAGGAGTGGACCGAGGAAAGCATTAGAACAAATGGCACAAAGAGAACAGTGGAAGAGGAAACTGTAGAGCTCTTCAAACTGCATTAGATACGGGGAACTACTGATATGCTGAAGTCATGGACAGGGTTGAATCCTACAGATGTGTGAGTAGAAGGAGCTTGTGCAGAAAGGTCTTCCTCATTCTCCTGTTCCCCCAGCAGCTCCCCACAAGCCCAGAAGCCCTCTGCTGAGGGTCCAAGGAGCCTTGTGAAAAAGCTGTCATGAAACACAGTAGCTGAAGGTGAGGAGGAGGAGTTGGGCAAAATCATCTCCTTACTACTTGTGCAAATGGGAGGGCTGCTGGAGGAGAGGAAGGGAAACACCTTCTTAGCTCGCACTCATAGGATCCAGCCCACCTACACTGAAAGAACATGTTATCAAAAGAATTGTGTTCTTAAGTTTTAGAATGGGGAGGGAGGGTGAATCCTGTGGAAAATATCTCAGTTGCCCTCTAGGTCTCCTAAGTTTCTCTCTGGGGCTCAGAAATGATATCCCCCAGTGGCTTCCAGCCATAAGGGGTAAGAAATCAAGTAGCTCTTTCAAGCACAGAAACTTGATGGATGGGTGGAATCCTCTAACCTGCTCCCCAACATATGCTATCTTGCTTGGTGTGTGTTGCATCTTCTCCTTGCCTACTCTGCTCCTTGATGTTTTTCTAACCATTGCCGATAAATACAGGTGCGGTCATTTCTCCTCCCGCCCCCCGGCCCTGGAAATCTCTGAGCTTTTTAGTATCCCTTTCAGTTTCCCCTCTGCATGGCAAATATAAGACAGTCATGTTCAACAGCCTGTTGTTACCTCTGATTCCAAACTCTTTTTTGCAGATAAGATAAACTTACCAAAGCACCCTGCTGTAGCTATTCTGCCCCTCGGGACAGGAAACGACCTTGCCCGCTGTCTCCGTTGGGGAGGAGGTAAGATATTCACATTGGTTTAGTGCTGTGGAATCATTCGACAGAACCTCACACCATATCTTTCTACAGATCCTTCCTGCCATCAGTCCCATGTGCTGCTGAAACCTGACAGCCGCCTTTAAAGTCACATGCCATTGTCTATGCATTGTACTAATAGAGTCTGCTCATCACTGACAGCTCCTGATCTGTCATTACATTGAACAAGGCCTCTTACGCAGTATGCACCAAAAAATTTGCACCCAGCAGTCTTATCTAGCCAACAACAATGTCTGCTCTGCAGAGTTTCCCATTCACTGCCACTGAACCCAACTCACTAACAAGCTTGTAGTTGCTGCCTGCCACAGGTGCTGATCACATTCCCTGGTATTGGCTTTTTTTTTTTTTTTTTTTACATTCCCCCAGTAACTCTTACTGGCCCTCTTCCTTGGTTGTGTTGTTATGTGTATTTGTATGTCTACAGGTTTTTATCGAGCTACTTAGATATTTTATATATGAGCAGGAACGCACAGGAACGGAGTTCCGGCTGGCTCCCGAGTTGGCCATGCCCAGCAGGAACTAATTAGCATAATAGGCCACACCCAACAGCAGAAACTCATTAGGACTGGCTACATTAGGGGGGTGTGGCCTAACATGCAAAGGAGTTCCTGCTACAAAAAAAGCCCTGGGTTTTGACAATAAACAGACTAAGAAGCAAAAGGTGGGTGTGGCTGGATAACCACACTTCTGGTAACATGGGGGTGCGTCCTAATGTGCTAATGAGCTGTGCTGGCAGGGGTGTGGCCTAATATGCTAATGAGTTTCTGGTGTCGGGTGTGGCCTATTATGCTAATTAGTTCCTGCTGGGCTTTTTCTACAAAAAAAGCCCTGTATATACCCTATTTTAGATGCCGTTTTAAATGTTTTAAATGTTTTAATTTTTTATGCTTGCTGCCTCAAGGACCCTATTTAGATATACAGGTAGCACTGAAATGTTTTAAATAAATGAATGAATATTCTGTGTTGCCATTGGCTGTGCAGGTCACCAGTCCTTTAGCAGCGGTACTGTCACGGTTCATCACTTGGCAGACTCTCCCACTGATATTCCGTTCCTCCATGTGTCCCATCTCTTTTTGTCCCTCACAAGGTTATGAAGGAGGCAACTTAATAAAAGTCCTGAAAGACATTGAGCACAGTACAGAGGTCATGCTCGACCGGTGGCAAATTGACGTGATTCCCAATGACAAAGAGGAGAATGGCGACCCTGTCCCATACAGCATCATCAACAATTATTTTTCCATAGGGGTGGTAAGCAATATGTGTTGATCTTGTCCCTTTGGCCTCCCACTCTGTGTCCTCTATATATCACTGTAATATTGGAATGCCTCATTAAGTGAACTTTGTTATTCGAAGTTAGGCTGGGACACAACAATCACTGTTACAAGAGTGAAAGGTAGTACAATAGAAGCCTTCTTGCCTGTGATGTATACACAAGTTTCTTTTGCCTCACTGCTGCCTAGGGTCAAAGTACTTCAGAGACCTACTAGATCTGTTTACCAGAGGTAATGGTGCAATGTGTGCACACAATGAGAAGTACCTTCAACCAACTCACACTTGTGCCTTGAGGGTGCACTTTCTTTTTATGTGCCCACGGTAAAATGCTCATCTTAGCTGAAAGCTTGTTTGTAGTAGGGAATGAAGACTGTTTGAGGGCTGTGATGGCTCTTTAGATCCCTGTGGGAGCTTTTTCTGCAGACTTCATTTGATTTGCGAAGTCTGTCTTCTGCACCAGTAAGTATTGTTTTTAGTGTAGACAGTTCTCTTTGTGAGAAGAGAAAAAGCAGTTACAGCCCTTACTCTGAATTCTGAGATGACATTTTCACATACATTGTGCTATCCATCACTATTCGGGGCTTAGAAGTAAGGATTTTAAAAATATATGGTATTTATTTGAGGAGATCTAAGCTAAATGTGTTTAAGTCATGCTGGTGTAGTTGGCCTCCATAGAGATAATGTGCCGTAGTCAGGCGGCCAACTGACCTTCAAGAAGGTTCATATGACCTTGTCAGCAGGCTGGTAAAAACGTCATGTGTGCAGGGTGTTCAGGAACAGAATTAGATAAGAGAATGCCTTCCTGACTAGGGTTTTGGGGGGGGCGGGATATGGAGGAGGAGTGTTCTATCAGGTGGCTCCCCTAACTACAGTCTAAAGTGATATAAGGCCTGGTCTGTACACACAACTGAGTAAGATGATAGAATTCTGAAGTGGTATGATGAGCTACACCACTGATGATGGAAGTGTCACATTTTATTACGTAATCCCCCACATAAAAACACTACCATGTAAAAAAAGTGTTGCTAACTTATAGCAACCCCAGCAAGGAGCTTTCAAAGCAAGTGGTTAAGCAGAGGTGGTTTGCTATTGCCTTCCTCTGCAGAGCCTTCCTTGGTACCCTCCCTTCTAAGTACGGACCCATCTTCCAAAATATGACAAGATCTGGCTATACTATGCCATATGAAAAGTACCTGCAAGCAGGGGTCATTTCGTAGAAAAAGAGCTAGGGGAACTCATTAGCATAACTCATTAGCATATGCCACACCCCCTGACATCACCAGAAGTGTGTCATAAGGCCACACACCCCTGACATCACCGGAAGTGTGTCATAAGGCCGCACACCCCGCCCCCAACGGTCCCGGCCGCCGCCGCCGGCCTTGCAGCTCCACTGCCGAGCCCCATGAGGGGCCCGGCGGTAGACCTGCAAGGCCGGTGGGAGTGCAAGGAAGCCCCGCGAAGGCCCTCCCTGGCCCCAGGCAGGCAGGGGTGGGGAGAGGCAGGGAGGAAGCAACTTACCCTCCCTCTTCTCCTGCCTCCTCCTGGCTGAATGAGGGCCGGAAGCGGGGCAGCCGGAAGCAGGGGGCAGGGCTTCGTCATGTGCCCCACCCCCCCGTACCTCACCCGGGGGAACTGTGTTCCCCCGCGTTCCCCCCTGAAATGACCTCTGCCTGCAAGTAAAAAATTGGCACATTAGGGAGAAAGGTTCTAAACCTAGACATTCATGCACTGTGCTAGTTTCCATTTACAGGGCGATTAACTCTGAAAAATGTAATCCCTCACTTTTTATTTAATAAATGGGTTTCAGTCTGAGTCCACTATACCAGCACGACACTCTGCAGTCTTAACTCCTTCTACTGCCTGTCTAGACCATTCCACAGACAAAGGTTTATGATTCATAAGCATTTTAACTGAGCCAAAAATTTGATATGCAGGATAAATGTGTGTACTCCTCTGCCTCATTGAGAGGAATGTGGTGCTGCAAGGAAGCAGTTGTCTTACTTTCATTCAATGAAGTGGTTATTCTCCTTTAACTGCTCCTCTGATGGTTATCAGCCTAGTGTTCCACTGCAGCACAATATCCAGCCTTAAAAGCACTAGGTAATATATGGGATATATTTGCAGGAAACTGAACTCACATGTTGTACCTAGGAAAATTTTGCCTCCCACTTAAAGTATTTATTAGTAACGCAGAGAAACCATGTTTGACCTAGTGCCAGATTTACAAAAGATCTTCAAGTGGTTCCAGTTTAAACAGGAAAGTGTGCCACGGGGCAGCTCTGCATCGGCATGGCCCAGAACACTCTTACAGGGTGCTTCCCTGAGTCACCCCAATCAGAGGAAAGAGAATGGAACAGGGAGAATTTTCGAAAAAGCACTTTGTCAACCTATTTCAAATTCCAGTTGCCATGCAACTGGGATGCAAGGCAGAATGTAATAGTCCAACAATGGGCCTGAAGTGTAACGACATTAGCATGGTCACATCTGCACTAACAAATATGCTTTCCTACTACAGTGAAGCTGTTTCTGTAGCAAAAATGTAACTCCTTTTCCATTGTGCCCAATTAAGAGGTCTATGTAATTTAAAGACTTCCGTATGCCTGCAGTGATAAAAGTTGGCCCACTAAAAGGTATCACCTTACCTGAGTTTGGGGGCTGCTAAAAAGAAAACCCTCTCACAACAGCTGACTAGTTTAGTGTTCCGACATGGCGAGGGGAAACAGCTGATAATAACATGAGAGCATTTGTTTAAATATGGTCTCATGTTATATTAAGATTCCATTTATACATGATTGATGATTGTCGTAAATGTATTACAGACAAGAGCAACGTCTATTAGAAATGGCTGTAGTTGATATGTTCAGTTTTTGGATTCCATAGCCCCTCGTCAATCCTGCCTTAAATTACTTTAAATAGTTATTTGAACACTTTAAAATAGTTATTTGAATACTTTTCAGATCTTTAAGGAAGATTGTTTTAGCACAATTGGAGGCACCCTGTCTATGGATGACAGCCTCCAGGTGGGACCAAGGGATCCCCTGAAATTACAGCTCATTTCCAGACTACAGAGATCAGTCCCCCTGCAGAACATGGGGGCTTTGGAGGGTGGGTTCTATGGCATTGTACCCTATTGAGGTCCCTGCCCTCCCCAGGCTCCATCCTCAAAACTCCAGGAGTTTCCCAACCTGGATCTGGCAACCCTACCCTCTCATACCCCGTCGGTGGCCAGGGGGGACCTGGCAACCCTAACCACATCTGGGGATTGACTGTACACATTGCAGGGTGCTAGCAGTGCAAGAGACTTAAGTACACAGGCTGTGGTGCTGGGGGATCCATTGCTGACAGGGTGCCTTTTCGATACTTAATGATGACAGGCCATTTTACCTCTGCCAGGCTAGGCTGCCACATGCTGCTTCCAATCTTTTCTCTCTTTATTTTTGGGCTGTGAAAAAGTGTGGGCCAGCAGCTATATCATTAACAGGAAGTTTTGGATTACAGGCCATGGACTTGTGAAGGCCCTGCCTTGTGACGCCTCTCTAGCCCAAAGCTGACTTGTGGGTGATAAACAGCCTGCTAATCCCTGGACGGAGTAAAGCATGTTCCAAAAGCTCTCCAAACTCAGACATGGCAAGAGAGGCACCCTGTGTTACTATTTGTGGCAACTGTGTTACTATTTGTGGCCATTCAAAAACTACCTGAGCTTTATGTCTGCACAAACACAGCCATCGTGAATCTAGGCACACGACAGAAATGTGGGAAATAACATGTTTGTCTAAGGACTGGTTTGTCCAAAGACTTGTCCACAGAATGCTTATGGTATTCATATGGGACTGCTTGGGCACATTCTTTGTTGTTTTCTAAGAGCCTCTAGTGTTGTTGTTTTTTAAGGATATTGGTATGATTTCTTCTGTTGCCTGGCCAGGTTGTCGTATATAATTTGGATAGGATACTGATCTCCTGAAAGACTGAAAGATTTTGTTAGATGCCTTTTTGCAAGTGCATTTTGTGATAGAAATTATGAAGCATGGAAGAAATGGTGAAATACACAAGGATTCATAACATCTTATTTATCAGATGGGGTGCAACACATGTAGCTTTGGGACTATTTTTGAGATTTGTGCAAGTTCCACATCATGTCAGACTGTAGCTTCTCGTAGTTTTGGCACAGATACCGGTTATACTTCCGTTTTTCTCCACTGTCAGTTAAGCATTTCATGGTAGCTGATGTGTCACCTTGCTAGTGGCACAGAAAATATTCGTGAATGCAGATGAATCTTCTTTACACACACATACACAAAAACATATATTTCCTATACCAGCCACTCAGAAAGAGCTGCTTTGCAATCCCGTATCTTGAAGGACTGTCTGATTGGAGATAGATTTCTATTGTATGTTCTCCCTTAAAGGAGAGAGGTACATCCACGTTCAAATTATAACATTCTTAAACATTCATGAAATGACAGGGCATTGTTGGTGAAAGGGTAGTTTGGGTGGCAAGTTTATTAAGAGTAGTGGGGGAGCACATAGCTCCAAAGGAGTTTTTTAAAGTAGTAACAACAACAACATTTTAAAAGTTCACAAAGTAAAATGAGCGTGGGAGGAAAGGAGCCATATCTTCCATCTCTAACCATATCACAAAATATGTACACCATGGTCCTGTCATCAGGTCCAGCCTTAAGATCAAGAGGTATGAAGGTCCAGCAGCTTCAGGACTCCCCTTTAGGGGATGCAACATGCAAAGTTTGCAACTTCTGAATCTGAAATTTGTATGTTGGGTGAGGCTTGCTCAGTTTGTAAGGCTGTTTCCAATGTTGAAGAGAGCCTTGGTTATTTTGTTCCCCCTACCGTTTCTTTTTCTTTACAGGATGCATCCATTGCACACAGATTCCATATGATGAGGGAAAAACATCCTGAAAAATTCAACAGCAGGTAAATATTTTTCCCTACTTTAAATCTCACTGTACTGTTAAAGAGAAGGTGTTCAATGAACTTTTAGTAGAATGAATTGATTTGCTTGGATGGTTATTGCTTGAAAAGTTTTTTCTTAGAAAGCCAAGGGAAGGAAGGATGGATAGACGTGTGGCAGTGGGACATTTAGTTTTGATATTTTCTTCTCCATTGCTCTGTTTCTCTAGGATGGAGGCAGGTTAATAAGCAGAGCCTCCACCTGTCTGTGGATTCTGTCGTCCTACTAAAAACTAAGCCGCTGGGATATATTTATTTTGTCAGAACTTCAAGCTCTGGCCACAAACTTTCTCCAGCATATCAGCACAGGGGTACTGTGTGATTGTGTCCGATCCCTGTAAGCCTAGAGTAGCCACTCTGGTGTAGTTGTTAGAGTGTCAGACTAAGATCTGGGAGATCCAGTTTCAAATCCCCACTCCACCATGGAATCTTGCTGTCTGACGTTGGGTTAGTCACACACTCTCAGCCTAACCTTCCTCACAGGGTTGTTATTGTAAGGATCAAATAGAGAAGGGGAGAATGTTGTAATCCACTTGGGTCCCCATTGGAGAGAAAAGTGGGGTGTAAGTGATCTAAATAAATACCCTGGAAAAGGCTCTGTGACTTTAAGAGTTGCATGAAGGAAGGAATCAGCAGGTGACTTTCCCAGCATGGAAAAGAAATGATGAAGAAAAATTGTTTATTTCTGTTTGGCAGCTGTTAACGGCAACCTACTTCATATACCCGAAGGTAAACCCACATTCATTTCCATAACAGACAGAAGAGACAAAAGCACAGGCAATGCAGGCTGTCCAGCTTGCATAAACCAAGGTGCAATGTTGCCTCTCCTGTACAACCCTGCACCTTTTTGGGGATGGCTATTCCTTATATTTCTGCTTTGGGTTAAAATGTTGGAGAAGGAGAAACATCCATATATAGGTCCATAGTTAGTTATCTGACTGATCCAGGCTTCTGGGCTTCAGTTCATTGCCTGGATACTTAAGTGCCCCTAGGAGAATACAGAAATTGGCCACCTGTGGTCTAGGGAATTCTGCCACTGCAGTGGGGTGGCAGTGGAAAACCCTTCCAGTTGCATAATATTGTGAGTTTTGCCCACAGAAGCCAACCCATTTTTTACCTTTATTTGAGAATGTGCATGTACGCTGGTTTTAAATTGTATGTTGGTTTTAAACTGTTTGTAAGCTGCCCTGAGCTGCTTCGGCGGGAGGGCGGGGTAGAAATTGAATAAATAAATAAATAAAATACCTTGCCAGGTTTGCTTAAACCTTTCTTTATGCCATAACCAGATATTGCAACTGAAATGCTGTTGGCAAATTAATTATATAAGGCCTATGGGATGCAGCCCTGGAACAATATGACATACACCGTAGCATGGTTCATAACTGTTACATTTTGCAGGCCTTGATGTTTTAAAATGTACATGGAAAGCTGCTAGAATTTGGCTTTAAACTCAATTCTGTTCATTCACGTTTCACCATTATTTCAGAATTTCAGGGCCAGTAGGGACAGGCTGTCAAGGCAAGGTGCAGGTTAAAATTCGCTCATGTCGCACCTATGGTTCTCTTTTTTAAGTGATGCAGCAATAGCAGGAGATTGTCCCTTGTGGCCTGTGCAGGAGATATTCAGGGAAATACTTGAAGGATTCTTAAATTTAGAAATTTCTTAGACTACCCCAACACACTGCAAATTTCTTTCTAAAGCAAAAATCTCTCTTATCCTGTAAACTGTAGCACAGGGATAAGATTGCTGAAGTGGAATGAGAAACCAGGGGTGATATCACACATGAATTTGTCCCCACTTTTTTCTTACAACTGCTGGGCAGTCCTTCAGTTGCCAAGAGGTCATTGACATGGTGCAGAGTGGACGTACCAATGGGAACCTGGAAGAGCAATAAGTAGAAAAAATGTAAAGCTACCTCACACATTTTTAGTAAGGAGTTTCTGTCCCTGACTGGGTTATTTCTTGTCTGTTAGAGCACAAAGTATGGAATATGTTAAAAACTTGAACCTTGGAATATTAAGACTGAACTTAAAAAAAAAGTCAAATGTCTTTATCTCTGACATGTGCATTAAAATATTGGAAATATGGAGGGACTCTTACAGTATGATCCTATGTAGTTATTAAAGTATAAACTCACTGAAATCAATGGGCTTAGATTGGAGTAACTCTGCATAGAATTGCACTGCTAATGGAGTTTCCACTGGCCACTATGCAAAATTTTCTACACCTTTTCATAGCCTGGTGCCATTAGTTTCCTAATCTCTACCTCCCTTCCTACTGCTTGGCTTTTCTTCCTTCTCACCATCCATCCATCCATCGTCTGTCTGTCTGTCTGTCTATCTATCCATTGTCCGTAACTGAAAATTTCACTTATTGAAGACATCCATCTTTCAAATCTTTTTAAAAAAAACAACAATTGCAAGTTTAAGCATTTGTAATTTCACATAATTTCTTCCAAGCAGGAGCTAGATTTCCATAGTGTGGAATTTAGTTTGGTTACTATGCAGTTAGAATCCTCACTAGTGAATTAATTAACATAGTGAATTAATTAACATAAATAGAATCCTCACTAGTGAATTAATTAACATAAAATGGTTTGGTTTGGTTTTGGTATATACATGTTCAAGGAACTGTAAGAACAAACCCCAGCCTTGTGGATGTTCTGTGTCTGAAATGCCAGTTCTGTGCCCCTGCACCTGAAAACATCTTGGCTCTTGCCAATTGCTCTCTTTTCCATTTCTCCCCCCAAAATCCTTGGTCTCTGTCCTGTTTCCTGACCCTCTTATAGAAGCTGTCCTCACCCAAAAGCCACATACATCTCTACTCAGTGTTCACCTTGTTATGCCTCCTCACCTCTTATTTGTGGCCTCTTCTGCTTAACCATGGATTTCCTTTACAAAATCTGTGAGTACCCTTACACAGTTTTGATCCAGTAGCAATTTGGGAATGGAAGGGACCTGGACATTAAGGTTAGCCCTTGTGAGCCACCCTGAGCCCATTGGGGAGGGCGGGATACAAATATAATAAATAAATAAATAAATAAATAAATAAATAAATAAATATGGTTAGAACCAAGTTTTTTCAGTCTGTGGGGTTGGTGGGGGGAAATCTTCATAGCTGAGTGGCTGATGACATGCTTTCCATGCAGAAGGTTCTAGGTTCTATTCTTGGCGGGTATATGGTAGCAGTTCTGAGGGGAAGTCCCTGCCTGAGACCCTGGAAAGCTGCTGCCACTCAGAGTAATACTGGGTTGGATGGACCACTGGCCTGCCTCAATATAAGACAGCTTCCTCTGTCCATATGTTCTCAGTAAGAAGAACATAATTGGGTAGGTTTCCCTAAGAGACACCTTGCCCCTAGAGCTACCATTATCTGCAATGTGCAGCCACAGGGCAGTGTTAGACAAGTTTTAGGGTAGATTCTCAGTTCATACAAAGCAACAGTGATTCACACGAATTGGCTGTGCAGCCTACAATATGCTCCAGAATCTTGTGCAATTGAATGAATTCCACAGCAGATGTTCAGGTATCCCTTGGCAGATGCTGTGAAATGTATTCCTTGAACATACAAAGTTTGAAAGCCACTAGATCTTATTTGGTTGCCAATAGCATACCGGATTCACTTCAAGGTACTTTATGGTCAGGGACCTACCTACCTGAGGGACCGCCTTTCCTAGGGTTGCCAACTGTGACTTACCTCGCCGGTGGGGGACTCCTGGGGGATCCTGGTGTGTGCATGTGCGTGCAAAGCGCGTGCGCGCTGCATTCGCATCACAGGGCAATGACGTCATGACGCTGGGCACGCTGGGGGCGGGGCCATGACCATACAAGGGAAAACCATAGAGTTTTCCCTTGTATGGCCGTGGCCCCGCCCCCAGCGTGCCCGGCGTCATGACGTCACTGCCCTGTGATGCGCACGCTGGGGCGGGGTTCCCCTCGGGGCCCGATTCCCCGGCGTCTGGGAACAGGCCTCTGGGGTGAGGGATTTTCCGCCCCCCGGGGGGATTTGGCAGCCCTAGCCTTTCCCCACGTGTTCCCCAGAGAGCACTATGGTCAGGGTTGCAAAATTTTCTGTCCCCCCAAGTCCTAAGGATGCCAATGCCAGGCTGGTATTGACCAGGACCAGGACATTTTCTGTGGCAGCTCCAACTTACTGGAATGAGCTTCCGGACAAGATCAGGGCCCTGCGGGACCTTTCAGAGTTCTGCAGGACCATGAAAATGGAGCTCTTCTGCCAGGCATTTAGGTAAGGAGCTGCATTTCATCATCTATGCCCTGTGCCAATTTTATTGCCAGCCTGAGCCCGCTGAGACTGGATGTATGTCTCTATATGCACTTTACCACAGCCATATTGCCATCGTAATGTTAATGGTTTTAATACTCTATCATGTATTTTATATTGATATTTATATTGTTGTTTTATGTATTGTTTTCTTATGTAAGCTTCCCTGAGCCTGCCTCGGTGGGGTGGGCAAGGTAAAAATCAAATTAATACATAAATAAAAATAAATAAATTTGTGACAGTGGGGAGGTCTGGATATTTCAGAGGAAATATGTAATGGCAAGTGCTGGGTGCCTTCTACATATTTCCAAATCTCAAGTGATGATGATGAGTTCGGTAGATTAACCACAAATGTGTTGAAACCCATCAGGTTCATTTCTTCAGAGACATTAAAGTAGCTTGAAGAAATTACTGCCTGTGGTATATATGTCATCCCACTTTTGGCTCTGGTGAACAAGTATAGCAGGTTTTGCGTTGTCTAAAAAACCTGCAAAACCTATTTGACCAGAGGCAACAGTAGGACAACAGAATATCTTCACCATGAGCTCTCTTAGACTGTTTCTACATGGAGATGATTCTCTATGTAGCTACAGCAATGGACCAGCAGCAGTGGAGCATCCAGATGGAGATTTCCTTGCCACAGCCACCTCTGACTTTCATCCCTCCCCCCCACACACACACAT